CGCAACAACAAAGACGTAGAAATGAAGAGAAAAAAATTAATCCGAATGAGAACGTCCTTGCATTTGGCACGTTTCAAAATTTTACTGATTATTACTATGATAATTTAGTCATCTTGTTCGTTGTCATCCAGACGCTACTATTTTAATCAAACGCTATTCTCGTAACGTAATGCAACAATAAAGACGTAGAAATAAAGAGAAAAATGATAAATCTGAACGAGAGCGTCCTTGCATTTGGCACGTTTCAAGAATTTATTGATTATTGCTATTATAATTTCGTTGTTTGTTTTCAGTCGGACGTTAACACTTCAATCAAATGTTATTTTCGTAACGTAATGCAACAACAAAGACGTAGAAACAAAGAGAAAAAAAAATAATTCGAATAAAAGCGTTCTTGCATTTGGCACGTTTCAAGATTTTACTGATTATTACTATGATAATTTTATCGTCTTGCTCGTTTTCAGCCAGACGCTAACACTTTAATCAAACATTATTCTCGTAACGTAATGCAACAACAAAGACGTAGAAATAAAGAGAAAAAAAAATAAATCCGAATGAGAGCGTCCTTGCATTTGGCACGTTTCAAGATTTCACTGATTATTGCTATTGTTATCCCCGCTCGTTTTCATCCAAACGTTAACACACCGGCACTTCAGTCGAACGTAATTCTCGCAATGCAACGCAATAACGGAGACGTGGAAATAAAGAAGAAAAAAAGTAAATAAGAGCGTCTGTAATAACATGCCTGATGTCCTTGCATTTGGCATACGCGATAACGCGCGTGCACGACGAAATGAGACAGCGATGACGATCTTTCACACGCTTTCTAATGCGCCGGCGAATCATCCTTGGCACTAATGGCCACCGCATCCCGTCTCATCTCGTCGAAGGATGCGCGATCCGAGGTCGTTTCGCTAACGATGTTACATATGCACGAGAGGCGCGTGCGCGCGCGCATATCGCCTCGTCTCCAGATATGAATAATACGCTACAGGCAGCTGCCGCCGAGGAGATTTCGGCAAAAAGTACCCCGGTCGCGAGACATTTTGCGTGTACACATGTACGGTCGCGGTTAGTGACGCGAACAACGAAACGCGTGAGCTGTTTTTTTTTTCAGCGCGAGAATTTCGAACGCTGACGGTTTTCCTCGCACAAAAATATCACGTACGGAGAACTATTACACGCGCAACGCGCGGAACTAGAAACCAATTATTTGCTCTCGGCATGGAGATTACATTCCCTGCAAATTATATTAATTACTTGTCACTGTGTCACGATTTATTTCTCCCCGTTAGAATCACGTTTTATCGCTCCGCTTCTTTTCCAATTTCTTTTTACCTCAACGCGCTACCCCCGTCGCGAGATAAAACGTACGATGGACGGTAATACGTTACCGAGGATGTATAGTCCGGTCTGAGAAAATTCACGAGAGATATGCGGGGGTGTACGGTCAGCTGACCGGAGCAGCTGGCGCAAATGACGCGGGACCGCAAAAAGGGGGCCAGGACAGATCCTGCGGGACATCCTGCGAAATAACATACGTCATTATGAACTCCACCCGTGAACAACTCCGTCGCGATAAAAGTGATTTTACGGAAGGATCCGTCCACTGAAATATTTACCGAAAAAGAAGGAAGGGAGTCCGCTCGATATATTTCGGGAGAAAGATGTGCAAAAAAAGGAAATAGGGAAACGGCTTTGAATGTTTGGGGGAATCTAAGCTGCACAATTTTACAACCCGAGTGCAATGCACGCTTCGCAACGCAGCTCGACTTCACTCGGTCACGTCCCTGATCTGAATTCCCCTTGTAAGTCTTTCTCTTTCTCTTCGGTTTCAGAAACCCTTCCGGACGCACTGGCCACCGACTGCGATAAATGCAGCGAGAAGCAAAAGAAGGGCACCGAGAAGGTCGTCCGGTATCTAGTCAACAAGGTACACGTAGCTCGGGGCTAACACGCACGCACGCCCGTCACTTTTCACCGGGCTAATTAAACGCGAGGTCTGCGTAATGAGTTGATGCCAGTGGGAGTAGGAGCGCGCTCGGGGGATACGCCGAGGCGGTTTAAATGCCGCGGAACTAGTTTGACTTTCACGCAGAGACGGGTTAACCCTCTCCGCCCGGGTGGCGGCGGCAGGGGTGTCCCCGTGATTCGTTTGCGAACCACGCCCGGAAAACTTTGGCGTCCGCGGCCAAATAATTTAACGGCGACGTGAATCCGCCGGCCCTTCGACCCGAGCCCTTCTTTCGAAAACTGATTTCACCCCCGACTGGGCAGTCATTCCGATCGTTTTAAAGGGGTTTCAAGTCACTTCGTCTCGAATCTCTGCCGCGTTTCACAGCGATTCTTAAAACGTTAAACGTATCTTTACGCAGCAAACACTTCAATACTTTTCAGCGCATGTGAGACTTCGAAATTATTGATTTCATTGTATTTTTATAATTGATTCGATTGGAACAAAATAGTACATTTGAGAAAAAACTGTTGTAAGCACAATGCGAATTTTTTAGTAGATTTTATGCTACTTTGCGCTTAAAGAGCGGCTATCTAAAGTAAGTTTTCATCTAAAAAATTTCTTAAACGGCCTTTACGTAAAGAATCTATTGTTAACTCGATTGCAACCGCAAAATGTCTCCTTTCCGTTCTCCATTGGTTTAATTGTGCAAGTATTATTTTGAGTGACACTTAAACAATACGACTCTATCTCAGCGCAAAGTGTTGAAAACGATGGAAGTGAGAAAACTTTCGGAGAGTAAAATCTTTATTATTACATTTACATAGGTTTTACAGCGATTCTTAAAATGTTAAACGTAACTTTACGCAGTGAACACTTCAATATTTTTCAGTGCGTGTAAGAGTCTTTGAAGTTATTGATTTCATTGTGTTTTTATAATTGAATCGATCGGAACGGAAAGTACGTATAACAAAATAGTACATTTGAGAAAAACGGCCGATTAAAGTAAGTTTTCATCTAAAACGTTTCTTAAACAGTCTTTACGCAAAGGACCTATTGTTAACTCGATTGCATCCGCAAAATGTCTCCTTTCCGTTCTCCATTGATTCAGTTGTGCAAGTATTATTTTGAGTGACACTTAAACAATACGGTTCTATCTCGGCGCGTTTCTCAGCGCAAAGTGTTGAAAACGATGAAAACGTGAGAAAATTTTCGGAGAGTAAAATCTGTTTGCGGCTTTATTATATTTACATGGATGTAACTAACGACACTTCGATAAACGTAATCCTGTTACGCGAACTTGTTACCGAAGATAGACGGGCGATTGCTTATTCGATCTTTCACTTTATTTCAGAAACCGGAAACTTGGGAGCAACTTAAGAAGAAGTACGATCCCACTGGCCAATACAGTAGCAAGTATGTAGAGGTAGCGCACAAGCAGGGAATAAATGTGTGAATAATTTAGATTCTCATCTCGCCGAGTAGAACGTCGAGAAATCTGTCCTCTCTTCTTCCCACACAGCACTCGAATTAAATAAATCTGTTAGTGCAACGTCACGTGCGACCCCTTCTCAAGAAAAATTCAGAAGCTATGAAGAAACGTATATGTTATCAGATGTTAATATAAATAATAAACGATAAGTGTAAAAAGGAGGCGATTGAATTATCGACAGATTACTGTTGCGGTAATCACAATTATCGTCCATTGACCATTTATCACCGACAATTTCCATATCCACTCGCCTTCCTTCGATCCTTCTCCTATCTTTATCTTGATAGGCGAATCGCATTTGTACACCGGTCACGGCCGGCAATAATATATTTCTCGGTACCGCGGCTCTTCGCCCGAAAGCAGTTCGACACTTCGGGAAGAGATAAATCTAGGCACAATGCCGAGAAAAGTTCCCTGGCCGAAGTTTGAGGTCCGAACGTCGCCCTTGAGACCGCCTCGCTTAATTTCCTGACGCTGTCCAATACGGAATATATGTGCGCATACCTATACGGCCTTTGCCACTCCGCGAGGCACCGCCGGAAGCCGACGCGACGGCGATTTTGTATTTCCATCGCCCTAGATCGAGGCCGTCCCGATCCTCCCGAGCTCGGGAGAAACTCGTCCTTTCCCCTCCGTCGTCTCTTCCCTCACCTCGTGGGAAAACGGAGAGCGTATTTCATCGTCGGGGAACAAGAACATCGGGACGATAATCGATACTGTTCAGTCAAGTAACGACTGGAGTCAACTTCGCGGAGTTATCAAAGTTGCATAAGGACTAACGAGGGCGGCTTCGCGCGCTACCCGCGTCTACCCTCTGCCCCACCCCCTTCCCCCTCCTTGCCCCGTGGATCCGGTATCGTTATCTCGCGAGAACCGATGGGCGTCCGCGGCGATTCGCCGCCGAGATTTAAATCAGGGCGAAGGGCACCTCGGTCCTATCCACGCTCGACGCGATAATTCCCGCCCCGTCTCGCGCGTTATTAAATTAAAGAAGTTAAGGGTTTCACGGAGATGGGCCGACAAGTATACATGCATAACTAATTACCCCCTTCGTTGCGCTTCCTTCGCCACACCCTTCTGTTTCCTCCCACCCCGAACAACGAACTTTGCCGACGACGCGCGCGTTAAATATGTAAATGAATTACGAGATTAGTGTATAGTCAACTTAAGCAGTCGATTTAAATGCACCGCGACGGACCGAAGGCGCGAGGCGCGGCGGCGGTGATGAAGGAGGCGGCTAGGGGGTGGCTCGAGGGGTCGAGGGTCACTCGAGCGATCGGGATCGCGCGAACCGCGGCGGAGGGGCAGGGAGCGAGTCTGCGGCGGCGGTGGCGATTCGAGAAAACCGAAAATTCAATCTCCGCGTGCCGCCACTCGACAAGAATTCTCTCGCTCCTTTAGACACCCTCCCTTCCAACCGTCGATCGGATTGAAATCCGAATGTCGTCGACTCGTTGGGGCGCACTCGTAGGAAACGGATTTCGGGGCTTCAACAGGTTGGGAATTCCGCACGCATCCTTTGAAGCCATCTGTCGACAGTGCCAGCTGATTGCGCCCGTCCCCGCTCCCCTTCCCTCTGTTCCCGTTAAAAAGGAAATTACAATCGCTCAATCGTGATTTGTGTATCTACGATGTATCTGCCGATCGATTGATAAGGGAATTGTATTCGTCACGTATGCAGGATATAGCGGACTTGGATATGCGGAAACTCCGCAAAAAAACGCAACACGCTTTTCAATTACTACATTTATGTTACTGCATAAAATTGATGATTTTGGTGTTGAACAATTTCTAACAACTTGACGCTATGCAAAAACACATTCAATCTCGAGAAAAAATGTATGTACCTGATCATATCCGAGTATATCCAACTCGGATATGAATTTTGTCCCTAACCAATCATATACAACGTAAATGTGATTTATAAAATAAGATGCTGAAACTCTTGTCTGAAACATTTTTCCTATATATTTTCGGAGTTATTCAGGGGTCTCCACCTTTTTTTGAACACCCTGTTTATATTCTGTTAACTCACATTTATGTTGTATATGATTGGCTAGGGACAAAATTCATATCTGCTTACATCTTTGTGAGTTAAGGGCTGTATCCACGATGCTAGAATTTGGTCCAAGTTCTAGTTTCGAGAAACGTGCAGCCAATCAACCTGCAGCTATATTGAACATGATTAATATCCCGGAAAAAATGTATACAGGGTGTTTCATTTTAATCTAGCCAGGCGAATATTTCAAACGCTGTTGAGCTTAGAGAAAAATGTTTCAAACAAAAGTTGTAGGGTTCGGAGGGGGACACAAGATGGTACCATTGGTTTGACCTTGAAGAATTATTTGAAGGTCACATAAAGATCACACCAATTTTTTAAAATGGCATCCCCTACTTTTTATTACATATTCTTGTAGCTGACCTCGAGAGCTTTCCAAAACGCTATAATAAAGTATCTTTTTATTGAGAACTTTTTGAGTTATTAAGGTTTGAAAGTTCCAATATTTTGACATAAATTACAAAATATCTTGTAAAATATTCATTTTTTTATCATCTTACCTTAATACTTTTTTGAACAGAATAATGATACAAATTAACCGGTGTAAAGAAAACACACAATTGTTAAAAAAAATTTTTTGTATACTTGTTACAAAATTGTATTTTCTTTAGACCGGTTGATTTGTATCATTACTCTGTTAAAAAAGTATTAAGGTAAGGTGATAAAAAATGAATATTTTACAAGATATTTTGTAATTTATGT